TATGTGAGTATGTTACCGGTACATATTGTAGCATTCTGCTGTGGCTGCCTGCCAGTCACATGGCCTCAGGGAGGGATGATGGGTAAAGTTTATGTTCATTGTTAAGAACAGACTAATCACTAACAGAACAATGCTAAACAGCTGTGACATCAGTCACAGAGCACAGAGTCTGGAGAAAAAAGCACAAGTCTTTGTCCAGGCCAGGCTGGTGGCTAGCTAAACAAGTGCAAGTAATTTGCAGGTGGGCCAATAGATTCTGCCGCATCATCTTTCTATGCTCAGAACAAATCTGCTCATCTTCATTTCAAACGTGAACTGCAGTAAATTAAATTGTTATTTTGTGACAAGTGCCACGGTGGGTACAAAGATGTGACAGGGTAGGTACAAAAGAGAAAAAAGCAAGCACAAAGCATGAAGCGGTGGAAACAAAGTGGGGGGAGATGGTGTGTTTAAAGTTGGTGCAGTGGAACACCATCCAGGCAGAGCTGGATACAAAATGGATGAATATGGGAAGCGGGGGGTGCAAAGTAAAAAGAGATGTGTACAAAGTAGGAACAAAGTGGACGAAAATGTGTCTAAAGAGATGAAAATAAGTATATATTTTCAAACATAATCTGATTTTCAACAGTTTTAAATGAAAATCAGATACGTTTACATTTTTAAATCAATTCTACTCAAAGGACCTTTTTTTTTTAACAAAGTTGTACAAATAGTGCTGCATAATGTAAAATGATCTTTTTTATTTCTCAGCACTGAGGACATTCTCCATCATCTGTCAAACTGGACCAGCTTGTATTTCACTGAATTCTCTGTATTCTACTTTACAGCATCTTCTCCAAATAAACAGATACAGTAATTACACTTTATAATTGTGACAGCACTTTTATACTGCAGCATATTTGCTAAGAGCTTTGCAGTACATTTATTACAGTATGTTATTTCTGAACATTAGAAGGAAATATGGCTTTGACTGGGCACCTACCGTTCTGGACATCCAGAATATGATGCTTGTCCAGCGTCCATCCTCCCATGTTGGAAGCGTCCATCTCATAGCCTTGTAATATGGCCGTTCTCTTCTCCCACAGGATGAGGTCCAAGCAGGACTCGTATTCAAAACCCACTGACACTGTTGAGACACAGAAGTTGGCAGGTTGGTTAGCTCATTCTTCTGACTTTGTTTAAGCCAAACATGAACGTTTCCGCCAGCTGGTGGAACCGAACCCCCAACTCTCCCATTGGAGGATGACTGCTCTAACCACTTGGCCACGGCCGCCTCAAACAAGAACAACACAAGCAGATTGGAAATAAAGAGCAAGTTCAACTCAAGCCTCAGAGTCCTGCTGCAGGTTAGTACATCCTGATCAGCTCCTGTTTAACACATTCTGTCAGACAAAACAACGCCAGTTTTCAACCAGTTTGACACAACTGTCAACAAGGAAGAGGGCCGGCAATGGAGGAGGGGGCGTGACAAAGAGACCATCTTAGCACCAACATAACTGGTTTGTTCCACTTTGGAGTAAGCTGTTGGGGGAAGAATCAGTTTTGTTGTGTGTTTCCTTGACTGATGAAGCCTTCTGGATAGAAGGTGAAATGTTTCAGCACAAAAAGAGAAGCTGTCCAGATGACCTGACTGAAAAATGTTGGACATTGTAGTGAACCTGATCTGACCCTGATCTGACCCTGATGACCTCAAAT